GAGAGAGAGAGAGAGAGAGAGAGAGAGAGAGAGAGAGAGAGAGAGAGAGAGAGAGAGAGAGGAAACAGCATGGTTGGCAAAGATACAGGGCCAGAGCTCTCTCTTACCGCCTCACCCTCGTCATTCTCGAATAAGTAACTGGTCATGGAGCCCAAGCGCATCGGCTATCGTTGCCCTGAACGAGAACCTGGTTAGGGTGGGGAATCACTTAGGAGACTTCACTCCTCCCTACCTGCGTCAATGAACAGCAATTTCATCAAAACGGACATTTTTTTTGTTTTTCGAACGAAACTGAAACCGACTAAATTGGCCAGATTCAGGCCCATTCAGGTCAAAATTTTGACGAAATGAGGCTCCGGAGCTCTTAAAACGCCGTGCCCCTGGGCTCCAGCTAAGTTCAGACACACCCACCCTGAGGGGGTCTGGCGTTCTTAAAACATTAGACCCCCTGGACTCCAACGAAGTCCAGATACATCCAGGGGGGTCGGCATTTTAAGGACGCCGGACCCTCAAAAGCTACAACTTTTGAGCTGAAGCGGGCCATATTAGGCGGTTTCAATTTCGTTCAAAAAATTAAAAAATGTCCGCTTTGAGGAAAATTGCTGTTAATGGGACCTTACCCATATTTCCAGCCCATTCTGAGCCCTCCTAGCTCTAGCCCATAGTAAGTGAATGGGACCTTACGCATAGTGAGGCCATTGTGACCCCTGCTAACCGTTGCCCACGATAAGTGAATTGGGACCCCTTACCCATCGTGAGCCCATTGTGAGCCCTCCGAGCCCTATTCTGTAAAGGAAATCTGTCCTTACCGATGGTGGGCCCTCCTAGCCCCAGCCCAGGGTAAGTAAATCTGACCTTAATGCATTTTGATCCCATTGTGACCCCTCCCACCCCTCTCCTCTAAGTGCCATTGCAGGCCCATTTGTGAGCCTCCTAGCCTCAGGAGAATACCTGTTGCGACCACTGACAGACATTCCTCGGACGAAAAAGAAAGACAAAAGACATTCCTACCTTCTTCCCCCGAATACAACGTACGGTCATTATAACTGTATTTAGACAGAAAGCTACCCCAAATACAGCTATAATTACCGTACGTTGTATTCGGGGGAAGAAGGTAGGAGCTGCGAAGAGGGGGGGGGCACTGGCCGCCAACCCCGACATTGGCACTCTACCATCACCTAAACACCTCCTGCTTTCCCCTGGAATACAATGGCGGAGTCATTTCAGCGGTATGTGGCACAATTGTCTAGCCAGATACGGATCTAATAATCCTGTGCTATATCAACCTACCCCTTTGACCTGTATATAACGGAGGGTTCATCATAGCCATATCCGCCCTATCTCACCATCCCGATACAGGTATAATAATCCTGTATCGTACTACCCCTTCTCCCAGAGTACAGCGCCGATGTCACTACAGCTGTACTGGGAAATGGTTACCTCTAGCTACTCTCAGTGGTAAGCAACCCAGCGAACCAACTCAAAGCTAAGTATATATCACGATACCTGTATGGACATCATGATGTCTATCCATGTGCACCTTCTGAACTGACTCCGAGAGCTTCTTTCCATTGCGCCTCTGTGTTCTCTCTCTCTCTCTCTCTCTCTCTCTCTCTCTCTCTCT